GAGGTCTCTAGGACAATCAACGGAGAAGAGCCAAGAGCCGGACCCTACCCAGAGAAGCAGCGAGGCCCGAGATGGAGGCAGAGACGATGACGTGGAGTGATGAAATGGCTGGGGACTTTGGATCCAGAAACGGAGAGGGACTGTGTGCTGAAGAATGGGGGGTGTGTGTGTAGGGGGCGGGTTCATAGGGTATACCCTTTGGTCACTTGATGATGCATGGAGGGGATTGGAACTATGGCAATGAAACAATGTACGGTGGAATGAATGTAAAACTAAAGCTCTCCCATGTAAAATATCATATAATTCACAATAAAACATGAAAAAAAAAAGCAAAAAACCTGAATTGAGTAGTCAGATTCTAGATAATAGTATGTTGGTTGGGCATTGTTTTGTATGTCTAATTTATGATAGCAGAAGATGTGCTTTAAAATATTTATTTAAAATATTTTCTGCTTTTATTTAAATAGTGTAACATTTAAATCTTATTTTGTGTGCTTCATTTAAAATTTCTGGTTAAGTTTATATTGTTGTATACATTTATTATTATTTCCGATCATTTTCCAGATGTTTAGTTTTTCTTTTTAAAGTTAGACAACCATATTGCTGTCTAGTAATCATATTTTTGTTTTGAAAATATATTTTGCATTCTATACTTGCCTCATGATATTGACCTGAATCTCTAAAACTGTTGCTTTCAGACATTCTTACATTGTTTCTGATTTTACTGACACTGTTTTTAGTGTTTTACCATTAAATTGTGTATTTATTGGTTGTTTGCAATGCTGTAATTTATCTTATTCTCTAATTCTTAGTGAGAAGAGTTTAGTTTTTCTTTTCATTTTCATCAGAATGAAACTTAAATTTTATCAAAATTTCATGAGCTTTTATTAAGTTTGATCAACTATTTTTTTCTCTTTCACTAAAATCTATTAATGTGATTAAGGATTTTAAAATATTTTGCCATATTAAAGAAATGATTTTCGTCTCTGAGGTCATGAAGGTTTTCTTTTATAGTGTCTTCTAAATATAAGGTATCCTTTTGCATGGATGTCGTCAATGATCTAAAATTGATTGTATTTTCTTTCCTGTGATGTAAGGTAAAGTCCTGTTTCATTTCTATTTCTAAGAATACTCAGTTTGCCCAGCATTATTCACTGAACAGTCTATGCCTTCCCCATTGATTTTCAGAGTTACCTCTGTTCATATATCAAATGTCCATATAAGTACGGTTTGTTTCTGCAGAAGCGTTTCCATTTTTTTCTGCCAAGGTCCTAGGACACTACTAGTCTGCTTCTAATTTAAACCACATTTTCAACTTGAGGTTTTATTTGAATCATCCCCGAACCAAACTCAACCCACTGTTGTCCAGTGGATTTCAACTCATGGTAACCCTATAGCACAAAGCAGAATCGCCCCATAGAATTCCAAGGCTGCACATATTTATGGAAGCAGACCATCGCATCTTCCTCCTGTGGAGTAAGTAGCTGGTGGGTTGGATTCCCTGAGCTTTCAGTTAGCAGCCCAGTGTTTTAATCACTGTGACACCAGAGCTCCTCTTTGGACCATCTGTTGTTGTTGTTTAGTACCGTGGAGTAGATTCTGACTCATTGTGACCCTGCACAGGGTTTCCAAGGCTGTAAATCTTTACAGGAGCAGAAAACCTCATCTTTCTTCTGTGTAATGGCTGATAGTTTCGAACTGCCGACTTTGAGGTTAGCAGCCCAATTCATAACCACTATGCTACCAGAGCTCCTTAGTGATGTGCATTTGGGCTGAAAGTCTGTTCAAGGACTGTCTTGTTTTTCTGCCCTAACTCCCTATGATCAGTTCTCAAGACAAATCTATGAACTGGCTCCTGAGTGTTCTTTTCAGCCTTTCTCTAAGGATGTAACCCTTGGAGGTTCATGCTGTGTGATTCCACCTGTCTGAGTCTTCCCTTGGGGAACACTACATTTCTGTCTTCTGTTTCTGGACAGGCTGTGAACACTGAAGTGTCAGGATTTCAGGGTTTGGAGAAAACCTCTGAGACAAGAACACAGCCTACCTCCTACCTGCCTTGAGATTGGACTTTAAAATTCCTTACTACTTTGAACTTTGGCAGCTCTTTGATGCTTTTAAAAAGCTTTTTGTTTTATATTAAAGTGTGTGAATTGAGTGAAAGAAAGTTTACAGGGCAGATCAGCGACAAATCATATACTTTGTTTCATTACAATGATTATAATCCCCTCCATGTACCATCCATTAGCATTATTTCTCTCTGTTCATTTTAGCTCTCTCTCTCTCTTTTTTTTTTTTTACACTCAGGCATATATAATAATTTACACCACCAAAGGGCACATTCCTGCAAGTCTTCCTCCTGGCCACCAGCTCTCAGTCCCTTTCTTTCCATGGGTCTAGAGTCCTCAGCTACTCCCTTTCTCCATGTCCCCACCACTGCCTCCGTCTCTGATGTCGCTGCTTCTCTGGATAAGGTCCCACATTCTGCTTGTGCTCTTCTCCCCTGATGGTCCTAGGGTCCTCTCTTTCTAGACTATAAGATTAACCACTCCCCTGTTTTTATTACAAATCTTCTACCTTTACAATTGTGACCATCTCAATCAGCCATGATAACAATTACTCACTATTAAATAATAAGAATTTTATCCCCATCTCTTTTTACCAGACCCATCTAGACAAGATGAAAACTATTCCATGGGGACTCTTAAAAGCTTCAAAAAAAAAAAAATTTTTTTTTAACAAGGTTAAATTAAACTAGGTGTCTTAGTTATATTAGTGGTCAAATTAGTTTGAATAAACTCCATGTGAGAAGCATCTTATAAGAATTTTGTCAAGTTTATAGCAAAGTGGTCAAATCTATGACAAAAGGCAAATATTACCCATTACATTTAAAAGTCATGTTGATGCCAACTCTGATTGTCTTTCTTTGTCTTTAGCCTTATCTTCAGAGTCTCATTTTACTCTTTATAATAAGATGTCTGGAAATGAAGTATGGAAGTGAAACAATGAGGAAAGATCCAGTTTTCAGGTTGGGAGAAAATTGATTAACATCTGAATCTAATTTAGATTTAATGTTTGTTGTTGTTGGGAGGCGCTATTGAGTTCTGACTCGTAGAGGATCTATGTATGACAGAATTAAACACATAATGTTTATGGTAGTGCATTTAATGGCAACTTATTAAAATAGATTTACTAACCAACTGTTTACTAGGGAGCTTGGACAGTGTATTATTTGGAAAAAAGTGCACAAGAGTAGAATGAATACAGGGATATTTAATTTCTAAGTATGCTTCATCCTGATTTTAGACAAGTTGAGTTTTAGTTCTAAACAGCTTTACAAACAGTGGTTAAGCACCAACATTTATTTTACTGCTGAGGTCCATTGTATGTCCTGGAATCTAAGAGCTCAGAGCAAACTGGTGGGCACTACTGTTGTGTAGAATATTTGGAAAGGCAGGAGAATCCAGCAGGGTGATCTTTCATAACATAAAGTGATGGTGACCAGGATGGCTCCAAAATAAAAAGGAAGATAAGGCTGTAGTTTAGAGACTTCACAAGAAAACAACGACACAGCTACTGACCTGATTGTCTAGAAGCTTTAGAGAAGAAAGAGTCTAAGAAAAGGTCAAGGGACTTGGTCACTAAAGGAGTGATTATTGTCAAGGGGACTCGTGTAGATTTGGGAAATACTTCAGATAACAGGAAATGGTAACAAATTCATCATTTTACAGTTTTGTTTTTTTGAAGCAAGGGATAACCATTCAAATATTGAGACTTCTGTCTTTTTGACAGCTATTGTACAGCTAATGTTATTTTATCGGTAGAATCTCTCCAAGGAAGATGGAAGCCCATCCTAATCCAGAAGAGCCAGAAGAGGAGGATGAAGATGTTCAGACTGAAAGAGTGAACGCAGCAAATGCACTCAGTAATTCAAACGCAGATGAGGTGAAAACACATGATTGTTGTTTTTAAGTGCAGCCCAGTCCATTCCCGCTTATAGCGATCCATATAGGATTTCCAAGGAGCCACTGATGGGTTTGAACTGCTGACCTTGTGGTTCCCAATCCAGTGCTTATCTTGTTGTTGTTGTTAAGTGCCGTTGAGTCGATTCCAACCCATAGCAACCCTGTACAGGGTTTCCAAGGCTGTAATCTTGACGGGAGTAGAAAGCCTCATCTTTCTCCCATGAAGCAGCTGGTAGTTTCGAACTGCTGACCTTAAGGTTCACAGCCCTATTCGTAACCACTACGCTACCAGAGCTTATCTTACAGTACCACAAAACAAAATTACTTCTTACTAAAATACTGAGGTCATTAGTAAAATACTGAGGTCATTAGAAGTCATTACCTGTAGCATGGATGATCTGTTAGTTTCAAATTTTAAAAAATTTATTTTGTTTATGTAATCATTCCGTTTGTAGACCATATTCAAATCATCGTCTTTCAAAAATATCTGCCTTGTCACAATCCTTTGACTTTTCTTTAACTTTGTGTGAGTTTGGATCTGTCCAATTCCCTTTGGTCAGTCAGCATAATTTGACATTTTCATTATTTTTACCAACTTTAAAGATATTCTACATATTTTGCAAAAGCTGCCATTTCATTTCATAATTTATTGAAATTGCGGTAGTAGTGACTATGGATGAATATGAAAAAGCACACGAGTTTAAACGGTATGACAACTACTAAGAAATACATTAGCAATAAAATTAATGTAGAGGACCGTGATAAACGTTCTGCATAATGGAAAGTGGAGATATTTGATTAGAGAGTTGAAGATTATAAGTAGCCAATAAAGTAATTTTCATTCAGAAACGTAAGTTTGGATATTTTATTTTTTTTAAAAAAAAGAGGGTGGGGGGAGAGACTGACTTGCCACAGCCTGAAAATCTGGTTAATTTCATGTCCTGGGAAATAGAAGGTAAAACATAAGTGGACAGATTATCTGAAATGTAACAGGGAAACTATGCTTTGTCATGTTTTCCAGAAACCAGTCATAATAGCAAGCTGTTTACAAAAGGAATACAAAGAGAAGAAAAGCTGCTTCTCAAAGAGAAAGACAAAAATAGCCATTCGAAATGTTTCCTTCTGTGTTAAAAAAGGTTTGGATAAATAGTCTTTGTGTTAGGATGTTACTCTTATGCTCTAGAATTGGAACTATAAAAAGGATATTTTTTCTATTCTTGGAGACTGTTCCTGTGCCTTGCTAGCATGCCATTATAAAAATATTTGACGTGTCAGCAGAAAAGTTGTTTCTACTTAAATATCATGCCTCACTTTAAAAGACAAGAAAACTGATCTTGGCCAAGGAAGATCGATTTATTGTACTTCAAACCCCAGATCTTTCCATTACTGTTTTTTTTAAATATAGGAATAAATTTAAATCAAGGAGTTGTAACTCAGAACCAAGAAGGCTGAGCATTTGCTTCTAAATGTTGCCGAATCAAATGAGTTTAGGTTATTGTTGTTGTTAAGTGTTGTTGAGTCAGCTCTGACTCAGTGACCCTGCATAGGACTTCCAAGGAGAAGATGGTGAATTTGAATGCTGACCTTGTGGCTAGCAGTCTAGTGTTCACTCTATAGCGCCACACCAGATCAGTCAGTCTTTAAATTGCACACATTCAGAGGAATTCTTTCTTCCAGGTGAAGTTTTGGGCTTGCTGGGACACAATGGAGCTGGTAAAAGCACCTCTATTAAAGTGATAATGCGAGCCACAAAGCCAACGGCCGGCAAGGTACGTACGTATGTGACACATGAAAGAATCATGAGCTCATTGCTAGGAGAAATCTTCTCTTAATATTGGTGGTATCCTTATATTTTTTCTATTTATAAATCAAATCCTTTTAAGAATGAATAAGTAGGGTAAGGAATTTATACAGTACCTCTTGCATGCTCAAAAAACATTGCAACTTCATGGCCACTTTCATCGTCTTTAGGAAGAAGGGGAATTGGGGCAAATAAACACATGTGGACCTGACACTTGAATGTTTTCTGCAGGTGGTTTTACAAGGCAGCAGAGCTTCAGCGAGACCTGAAGAAGACTACAGGCTCAAGTTCCTGGGATACTGTCCTCAGGAGAACTGTCTGTGGCCCAACCTTACAATGAGTGAACACCTGGAACTGTATGCCACGGTGAAAGGATTAAGTAAAGAAGATGCTGCTCTTTGCATTTCACGGTACAGAGGGAGGTCTGGGGGATACATTACGGATGGAAAAAGAGAAGGAGATCATAAATAATGTCTTCATGTTTCCATGCAAATAGATTAATTAAACATCTGAATAAGAACCGAATCATAGGATTTAATATTTGGAAAAATCTTAATGATCTTTAGCACTTGGGTTCTTCATACTGCTGTTTCAGCTAGGTGTAATTACTGAAATCTTTCTGTCAGATTGGTGGACGTGTTCAAGCTGCAAGATCAGCTGAAGGTGCCCGTCAAGACCTTATCAGAGGGGATCAAGAGGAAGGTACATGCAGGGCTCAGGGTCACCCCGTCCCCCACACAGACAATGCCCAACATTGCTTCTCTTCTTCCAGCTGTGCTTCGTGCTGAGCATCCTAGGGGGGCCAGCGGTGGTGCTGCTGGATGAGCCGTCCACAGGGATGGACCCTGAAGGGCAGCAGCAGATGTGGTGAGAAGGGTTAGAGACAAATGCTAAGTGTTAGAGGCAAATACTACGACTCTAGGGTGATTTCTCTGGTAGCATAGTGGTTACGAATCGGGCTGTGAGCCGCGCAGTCAGCAGTTCAAAACTACCAGCAGTTCTGTGGGAGAAAGATGAGGCTTTCTGCTTCCGTAAAGATTTACAGCCTCGGAAACCCTGTACAGGGTCTCTACAGGTCGGAACCCGACTCCATGGCACATAACAACAACAACAGGGTGATTTCTATTTCCTTAACTTTTAATGCTTAACCTTTGAGAGTCACATTTTCTAGTATTTAATTCCATGGAAGTCAATATAGCAAGCAAAAGTCCTTAAGAAGGGAAACATGAGTATTTTAAGAATCAAATAAACTCTCTAATATATTTGGTTGGATTATTTTACTCTTCCTCTTCCTGCCTCTTTCTCCTTCTTCTATTTTATTTTCTTGTTAATAAAAAGTCTAGACTTCAGTGTTTCTCTATTTTACTCCACCTTCTGTTTTTATTTTTTAAGAAACTATTTTACTCACGTCTTCCAAGTCGTCTGCTTTTTTATCTTCTGCAAACGCACAACTCATATGGTGGTGTAGTTAAGTCATGAAACACATTTTTTATTCTTCCTACGTGGGACTGTAGGATAAGCACTGGGCTGCTAGCCACAAGGTCAGTGGTTCAAACCCATCAACCACTCCTTGGCAATCCTACACAGGGTAACTATGAGTTGGGACTCAATAGCACTAAAACAACAAGAATATAACAAAACCCTTTTCTTATAACCTATTATAACTTTTTTTCTACTTCAGTTGCATATTTGTATCTGCTCATTTATTTTCCCAGTTTACTTGCTCTAAATGCAAACAGTCTCTTGTTTTATTTTTAGGCAGGCGATTCAGACTATTGTTAAAAACAAGGAACAAGGCATCCTTCTGACCACTCATTACATGACCGAGGCCGAAGCTGTGTGTGACCGCGTGGTCATCATGGTGTCTGGGAGGATCAGGTATGTGCCCATCCATGAGCACAGCATGTTAACCTCACAGGGAAGAAGGAATCTTGTTGTAGAGAGAATTTTAATTCACTGTAAACAACTGAGGCTCTTCTGCTACTTGGTCTAGGATATATTTTTTCTTTTATTTTTGCAATTGGGGGAGAAATGAAGAAGCAAGTCTTTTTTCTTTTAATCCTTCATTCTTTTCCTTGGACTCAGGTGTATCGGTTCCATTCAGCATCTGAAAAGCAAATTTGGTAAAGATTATTTACTGGAAATCAAAGTGAAAGAACCTACTCAAGTCAAGCTTCTCCACGCAGAGATTCTGAAGCTTTTCCCACAAGCTGCTCGGCAAGAAAGGTACGGGAACGTTTTTGCTTCTGTGACCAGTCTAAGGAGTTTTCAATCTTCGTATCATTTAGCTTTACACTAACCTAGACAGTTTGATACCATAAGAATGAAGATAAAACCTAAACAGGGTTATTCATCACAAAACAAACTGTTTAGGGCTACACTAGGATGTGTAAAAGACTGTAGAATAAGCACTGGACTGCTAACTGTAAGGTGGGTGGTTCAAATCACCAGCCACTCCTCAGAAACCATATACAGGGTCACTATGAGTTGGAGCTCTCGTGACAGCACTTAGCAACAACAAGGTTGTTTAGGGAGTCCTGGTGGTACAAGGGATTAAGCGCTGGTCTGCTAACTGCAAGGTTGGCTGTTCAAACCCACCACCGCTCTGCAGGAGAAAGATGGGCTGTGTAATCCTGTAAAGATTTACAGTCTGCCTAGAGAGTAATTCTATTCTGGCCTATGGTAGTGGGTTTTGAGTAGGAGGATGTGTAGAAAACAGATAGCTAGCTATTGATATGTTATTTGGAACTGAACTCAATCCTGTGGCTCAATTTTCAGCCAAACAACAGGCAATTTTGTAAGATGAACAATAACACCAGAGAGATTAGTAGAACAACCAACCATTGGAGATCAAAAGGGCAACATTTGCCCAAGGACAAAGCTCAGAAGGCAGGAAGCATTGGGAAATAAGAAGGAGTAGAAACTGGAAACACAGGGAGGAAATAGGATGAATGTTGTTATATTGTGGGGTTTGCAAACCATGACACAAGATGTGTGTGAATTGTTGGATGAAAACCTGCTGTGCTCTATAAACCTTTACCCAATTCCCCCCCCCAAAAAAAGTTTAAAAAAAAAGAAAAGAAAAGAAGAGAGAGACCAAGTTCTATTCCGATAGGCTGGCAGAACTGTCAAGACTATGGTATTAGATATTCATCAAGCCTGGAACTGACTTCACCCCTATAACTCAGGGAGATTCCTACTTCATAGAAGATCAAAAGGGCATGCAAGATCCAAAGGACAGCATTTACCCTAAGCTACATATCAGAAGGCAGGAAAGGATAAGCAAGAGGATGAATGGAAATAGGAAGTGGAAAGAGTGTTGTACATCATGGGGAGGGAAATCCATGTCACAAAACAAAATGTGTATGAATTGTTGAATGGAAAACCAATTTGCTCTGTAAACTTACACCCAAATCACAGTTTTTTTAAAAAAGGAGAAGGAGGACGAGGGAAAGGAGGAAGACTAAGGAGGAGGAGGAGGAAGAGAGAATAGTGTAATTCTTTTGGTGGTGATGGTGGTGGTGGTGGTGGTGTGCTGTGGAGTCGGTTCCAACTCATAATGACCCTATGTAGAGTTTCCGAGGCTGTAAATCTTTATGGGAGCAGAAAACCTCATCTTTCTTCCATGTAAGAGCTGGTAGTTTCAAACTGCTGATCTTGAGGTTAGCAGCCCGACTGGTACCAGAGCTCCTTGTAACTCTTCTGAGTAGTTTGAAAATAAGGACAACAGGGTGTGTCCATGAGATTGTGAACATAGAGGTCATGGATGAAATCTATTTGATGGGGGAAACTAAAGGACAAGGAGGAAATTTGTTCTTAATGTTGTTGATATTGTTGTTGTTAGGTGCCATCGAGTCAATACCGACCCATAACGACCTAATGCACAGCAGAATGAAACACTGTCCGATCCTGGGCCAGCTTCACTATTGTTGCCACGCTTGAATCCATTGATGCTGCCACTTGGCCAATCCATCTCTTTGGGGGTCTTTCTCTTTTCCTCTGACCCTCCACCTTACCAAACATGATATCTGTCTCCAGTGGCTGGTCCCTCCTGACAGT